ACCGTAGATACCGCCGACAGCTACTTCCGGGCACTGTAAAAAAATTTGAAATTTAGGATTGTCTCTTGATAGATTTTTTACTCTTCGATTCGTGTAAAATCGATAATGTGCATCATTATCAAAATGATATAACTTACTTGAATTTCACATAAGTAAACGGGTTCCATAAGTCGGGGTGAGGCAGTGAGAAGACAGGCATAAAGGCAACGTCTTGTGGTAGGGATAATTTGACCACCACCTCTGTGGATCGCGTCGGCGTGTAACGTTACATCGTGAATGTTGAAACGTACGCCTCTTAAATTCTCTTCCGAAAGAACGCCCTACGATAATGTAGAAACAAATTATATCATTGAACGTTGTTTATCACGCGCGCATTACACACATCCGAGACGAGAAATCCTTCAATAGATCTTTACCTCTTTTGTAGCCCATTGGAATCCAGCGACTACAGAGTCCTTAATTTCATTGAGATACTGTACACCCTTGGTGCAATCGACCAATATATTGGGTCCGCTGCCATCAGGTCCGAAACACCAGATTTTCCTAGCTTCGGTCACATCATAATCGTACTTCTCATTCAAATAACGAGCGCGCACTTTGAAGTCGTCTCGTGGATTAACATCGCCCTGCAAGATGTCGAGAAATGAAATTTACTTCGGTTTCATTTTCTCTTTTTTTAAATCTGCCGCGTTCACATATTTTCATCAATATTATTCTATCTTTTTCATTCAACTATCATTTCACTCTATTTTAATAGAAGTACTATTATATTTTTTAAGTTCTTAAAAAGAAAGAAAAGAATATCAAACTTACGCTGTCAATGTCTTCAGCGAGACCGTCCGGCATCGGACAAGCCATCATGAACAATCGATTGTGTTTGTTCGGGGATTTTGAAAGACACATTTGATTCGACTGTTCAGATATCGTTTCTCTGTACGATACGACGGGATCGGACTTCTTAATCGGAATACACGCGTGATCTTCCTCAAGATCTTTCAGACAAATTTCTAGATGCAACTCTCCGGCACCAGCGATGATATGTTCGCCGGATTCCTCGATGATACATTGCACCATAGGATCGGACTTGGCCAAACGCTTGAGACCTGTCGAATTTTAAGAAATTAAATTATACATTCTCAACAATATTTCAAAATAAATAATTTTTAACAATTTTTTCAATGTCAGATGGAAAAATTCGAATCATGGCTCTTCATAACCCAATGCTCTTGTTAGTCTCATCATATGATGTGTATATATATATGTATGTATGTATACATTTCTAACGAAATATTTTAAGATGTTAGTACTTAATATATTTGAATGTTAATTAATATATTAAAATTAATATTTCAATGTAAATAAAACTAGAAAGCTTACCTTCGACCAATTTTGGCAAATCAGCAGGATTTTTCGGTTCTACTGCAACACGTACGACGGGCGATACCGAGAATTTCATAACTTTCATATTGTGTGCATCCTTAAACGTCGTGATGGTACCAGTTTTGACCAAGAACTGATCAACACCGACAAGACCGCAAATATTACCTACATTATCAAATAAACGATTAGTCAAGCAATAATAACAAAGTATAATAAAAAATTCTGATTTTATTTAGTTGGATCAGCTGGCCGTTCTTTCTATCGATCATAAGCTATCAGAACAGGTCTGTAGAACAATCATCATGTAAAAATCTTTGGAAATAAAATGGCACCAGAATCAGAAATCTTGATACTAACCGGAAGGCACATCTTCGATAGCTTCGACGTAACGACCCATCATTAAAATGGTACGTTGGATAGCTTTCTCGTATAGATCTTCTTTCTTGCCCGGTTGGAAGTTGGGTCCCATGATACGAGCCTTCATGCCTGTGCACACCTTGCCCGAGAACACTCGGCCAAAAGCGTAGAAACGTCCTTTATCCGATGTCGGTACCATTTTCGAAACGTACATCATCAAAGGTCCATTCGGATCGCAATTCTAGACACGAGACAATTTCATTAATAAACACAAACTTGTCGATTATTATTTTATATATAATTTTTCTAAAAGTGTCTCAATTTTAATCAGCATTTCAATTTTCCTTCATTATGTTTCAGTACAGGTCTGTGAAATAAATTGTCATCATGTGCGTGTTTATTTGAAATATTCAGAAACAATCCAGTATATATTACAAACCTTGATACCAATGGCAGCTTCATCATCAAGTGGTCCTTCGTACAGCATCTCCATACGATATTTTTGAGCAGTTACAGGAGATGGCAGGTGAATGGCAATCATCTGAAGTAGAGCCTCTCCAGCAGGCAACCATGTTCTCATAACAACCTGGAAAAATTGTACGAGATAAAAAAACATTCCAAAGTAAATAAAAAGTCAATACAATTATCGAACAGTTTTCAGATGCTAGTATCCTCTCATTATAAATCG